GATTAGCATCTATCTTTTATTCAAGTTTTCAATTGAAACAGTCAATTTTCTCAGTAATAGAGTAACACCACCAAGTTCTTCTGGGTTGTGAATAACTGCAACCAAGTTGATCTGCCTAGCAAATAAAAATATTTGGAATTATCCTAGCAACTTTCAACTTATGTTTGAACTAAAGCCTCAATTGTAGAAAGATAGCAAGATTTGTTGCTGTGCAAACACATTTCCTACATCATCCACCAGATGGCCATGAAAAAAGAAAGAGTGCTTAAAGTGAAACTCTGATTAATGTTATTTAATATAAAGTTTAAATCTAGATAAGCTCTGGATACCTAGAAGTAACAAAAAAGAAATGAGAGGAGAAGTTATGCCATTAGAGGGCACTTTGTAATCTTAGAAAAAAAGTCTGTTCTTATAAATCAATTTAAGGCTTATGCTTAAGAAGAATGAATATTCATTTGTTTATTTTAAGTGAGTAATTCTTAAACTGTATATCTGAGAGAGAACATTTTATCGGTGCGGAAAACATATAAAATCTTAAAAACCACCATTTAAATAATATCTATGTAAACCTTCAATTTTTGGTCAGTAAATGTAAGTTGTAAAAATATACACAATGTATCTGCCCTGTCATTTTTTTATTAGCTATATTCAGTGCTTCTTTTAAATACATTTTAACTTCTGCCTGTAACCCGATCAGACTGAACAAGCCAACAATGTTCCCTAATATTTAAGTTTTCTCCCAATAGTAGTTGCATGTTACTAGAATAATATTTTGAGAATCAGAATCCAACAGAGTATAAATTCCTGTGTTTGGGGGCCATACTAATTTTTAAAACTTTTTTGAAAAGCGTGTTTCACCTATAATTGGCATAGCAAGTAAGATGGTTAAAACAGTTTCAGAAACAAAAAAATGTGACCTGATGAAATTTTAGGTTGGGAAATATGATGTTTTTGATAAAGCAAAAGATAAAGTTGAGTCTATTACCTATTGGTGATAGTCTAAATTAAAGTATCTACCTGAGCCAATAAAGTAGGTAAACCAGTAAAATAGTTTATAAATTGAAGCTTAATGTCAAAAACTGATGAAGATTTGAGATTTTAGCCCGGATACTAGGAGAAGGCACGATACTCCTGGATCAAAGACAAAGGACTTTATTACTCAGAACAATGCAGTAGGCATAGTATCATCATTTTTTTCTACTGGCTGCCTGATCACTATATCCCACAGGATAATGCAAAGAGGGCCAGAGACCACCAGCCCATGATCTGGATTTTATTACAGGAGAGAATTTTAGATCCCTGAATTTAGGGACCTAAAATCTTTGATAATGAGTGGTAGTCATGCCTACCGTTTGCTCAAGAGGCTTTATCTTCCAAGGTTGCTCACTATACAAATATCCTTGAAAAGGTAATGTGGAACAAAAGCAGTCAGTACTTCTGCTCCCAAGATATGCAAAAACAAACACAGAGACCCATGGAGAATTGCCTCCCAACACTTACTCTGCATAATCTTATAACTTGAAATTCTTTATTAATATTAATTTGCTAAGTAGCTGACTTGGAGAATATATAATAATCAGATTTACCATATTTTAAGCCACCTATAATAAATAGCTCATACTTTTTACGGCAGTTAGTATTTACTGTGTGACCTTACTTAGCTAAGTATCAATTTGATCATTTTTAAAATGAGAAAAAATAATAGTGCCTACTTCATAATGTTGTTGCTAGCATTAGATGAAATAATATATTTAAAGAACTTAGAAGAATGCCTGGCATGTGGCATGTATACAACAAAATTTATTGTTTTTATTTCAGAAATCTCAGAATTCTTTTTTTTTTTTTTCTCTTTTTGAGATGGAGTCTTGCTCTGTCACCAGGCTGGAGTGCAATGGTGCGACCTCGGCTCACTATAGCCTTGGCAGCCTAGGGTTCAAGAGATTCTCCTGCCTCAGCCTCCCGAGTAGCTGGGATTACAGGCACCCACCACCACGCCCAGCTAATTTTTGTATTTTTAGTAGAGAGAGGGTTTCACCATGTTAGCCAGGCTGGTCTTGAACTCCTGACCTGACCTCAGGTGATCTCTTGCCTTGGTTTCCCAAAGTGAGGGGATTACAGGCGTGAGCCACCGTGTATCCATGCCACATACCAGACATTCTTCTAAGTTCTTTAAATATATTATTTCATCTAATGCTAGCAACAACATTATGAAGTAGGCACTATTCTTTTTTCTCATTTTTTTGTAGTTAGCCAATTTAATAAAGAAAGAGTTCTTTCCTAGGGCAGTTTAGGATGCAGAGAAAGTTCCTAACCATCGTGACTATTTTCCCAACTCAGGGGCTGACCTAAATATCCCAGATATCCTGGGTCGTTGGGCAGCTTGTCCTGCTAAGTCATACTGTGGCACTGCCATTGGTAGCTTTGTGGGCAAACATGGGGCCTAAGGAGGTAAGCCTTGAGTGGCTTTGAGGCAAACATGCCTGTGTATCTCACTTTCAAGTTCTCTCATAGTAAGTTTGTCTAAGTTCCTAACAAGTATGGAGAGCCAAATTCTAGCTATTTCTAAAGAGATTTTCTTCTTTAATTGGCCTCTTCTGTTCTTATAAGGCAAGTTTTGGGGATGGTACTACAAAGAGAGATGAACTGGTAGAGCTGTATGTGGCATTTCTATGGTATTTCTAAACAGAGGTAGCATAGCAAATGCCATTTGGATTTTTCATTTTTGTTAGCTCCAAACAAAAGAGGAGCAAAGGGAAGGGACAGAGAGCGGTGAGGGAGGTCCCATTCAGGCCAGTCCACCATGGCCTTGCTTGGTTAGACTAGATCAACCTAGTCTTGATTTTGACCCATCCAGCCATCTTTTGCAGACATAACCCTTGTCTGCTGTTAGTAACTCTCATGAGCTTCCACTGGCATCCCCAACTTCTTTCAGATTTCTCCTTGACAATCGTCTGGATACCTGAGGGAGAGATTATTTCATGCTAATCTTCATGAGAGATTATTTCATTATTTCAGGCCTGGTCTCATTCTTAAACTGCCAGCTTGTTAGGAAGAAGAGGTTTTAGTTCAGTCACAGAAGCATTGCTCATTAGAGATCACCCATTCAAACTCTTTGGAAAACTGAGGTCCGGAGTGGCTATGTGAATTGCCTGAGACCACACATCTAGTTAGGAACCGAAACTAAACATCAAGTTTCTTAGTTCTCAGTTGAGTGTTCTTACATTTTCAATACAATTAAGAAATAAGAGTAGGAAATAAAAGCCTCATAATAAGTTATTATGGCTTTCTGGAGAGATATTACAGAGGTTGAAGATTGGGCCCTGCAGTCAGATCCACCTGTATTTGTATCCTTTCTCTACTTACATAATGGAGGTTTATTTTTGCATAGGATAGCAGCGACTTCACAGGCCGATTGTGAGGACTAAATGTACTACTAAATGTACTACTAAATGTAGTAATGCAACTTACGAACTTAGCCCAGTGCCTTGCACATAGTAGCTCTAAATCACTTCAGATATTTTGTATGGAAAACTGCACAACATAGAGCAGAAAAGAATATTTGGAAAAAAGAAGTAAAATGCTTTTTGCACAAGCTCACTGTGAAAAACCCAACTCTCATGTCCACATTGTAAAAAAGAGAATGTTTATTTCTTTTAAAATATACATTTTTGGCTATCTGAATCTGTTTTTGATAGCATTCAAAAAAAGACAAAATTAAAATCAAATGATGTTTTAAGTAGAGGTTGATTACAGCAATGTCCACTTAAAAATAAAACTGGCATTCACCTCAAGTTATCACAAATATTTGGTATTTAAAGTACCTCAATGTAAAAACATACTTCTCTGATAAGAAAGATAATTCCCTCATGTAAATTAAGTCAAAGAAGTAAAGGAAAACAATTCTTTACATATTTCTTTCTGTGAGAAAAAAATTTACCAAATAGTCAGAGGAAGCAAAATTTTTCACGAGCACCTGTCATGTCAAGGAACTTGCCTACCTGGGGCTTCCTTGGGAACACCAAGGAAGGCATTCTTCTAAGTTCTGTTGGGAACACCAAGACATATGGAACACAGTGTCTGTGACAACATCCTTACAGCAATGTACAGTAGAGAACGACCCATCATTACTTAGAGAATCTTTGATGAAAGTCAGTGACACATGCCAAAATGTAACTCTGCTCTAGGTTAAAACAAATGTTTTAAATATAGATCTTTCTAGCTTGTTATGTGAGTGGGGGTTCAAGCCCACTTTCTAAAATGATGGGATGTATATGTCAATGTTGTGTTGAAGACTCTCGTACCCGATAACAACTAGACATCAACTAACTCATCTTGTAATTTTGAACAAATTGCTTATTCTGTGAGGGAGATGAACTTTATGATTTCTAAAAATCCCTGACTTATGAAAGCATAATACTATATAGAGAGTTATATATGTTTAGCCTCTAGTCAGATTTTAGGGAAGAATAAAAACAACTGAGCAGTGATGGTTTTCTGGTTCTCAAAGAGTCTCTGTGATTTCTGTTGAATGTAATAGTTCAACCACACCATCAATTAGCAACTTCACTGCTGAGCAATGATACCAACCAACCATTGGTTTAAGTTTTATAATAGTTCAAAGAACTGACCCTAAGAGATTATTTTTGTACAAGCTTTGAGACATTGATACAGTGTTATCTACAATGTCCATATAGGCTTCTGCTGTAATGAAGTGAGGATTTTCTCTCTGAATACCCAGGGAAGTTAATGCAGCAAGAGTTTTCATTTCAAAATCTTGTTAATGCCTGAAATTCTAGTGAATTTATTCTCAACATCATGAAGTCATTTGAAGAAAAAATGTAGAAAAGTTCCCTTCAAGATCATGTGCATGTATCGAAAATATGTGATGCGTCCCTTAGTTTCCATCAAAATTAAAATAATGTTAACCCTTTAGAAAGTCTGTGACTTGCCTGAGTGTCTACCTGCAGAACTAATACAAGCAGTCATTTCTGTTACCTCAGGATGGTGCTGCTCCACTGGTGTCTGCTATGGCTCCTGTTTCCACTCAGCTCAAGGACCCAGAAGTTACCCACCCGGGATGAGGAACTTTTTCAGATGCAGATCCGGGACAAGGCATTTTTTCATGATTCATCAGTAATTCCAGATGGAGCTGAAATCAGCAGTTACCTCTTTAGAGATACACCTAAAAGGTATTCTCCCTGCAGTATTTTCTTTATTAAAATGCTCACACATGATGCCTCCAAAAAAGAAAATAATCTTTTAGACTTAGTTTGGATAATTCACAAATCAACCTATGAATGGTATTACTGATTTTCTGTAAGGGTGAAAATGGCTGCGCAACTTCTAATTATGAAATAGAGACTGTTTGATTCCTGCTGATTGTCATCTCCTATTGGGTAGAAGAGGCAATGCTTGCATTTCTTAAACTTTGGAATGATTATTTTCTTATTTTCATTACAGTAGAATATTTCTAAGAAGGATTCTGTAGGATTAAAATGAAATCAATTTTCATGAATATGTATGATTCTTCAAGAGTTGGCATTAAGCTTCATTTTTATTTTTGAGACAAGGCTCACTCTGTTGCCCAGGTTGGAGTACAGTAGCACAATCATGACTAACTGTAGCCTCAGCATCCCAGGATGACACAATCCTCCCACCTCAGCCTCATGAGTAGCTGGTACTACAGGTCTGGTGTGCCACCTCACCCAACAAATTTTTAAAATTTCTAGTAGAGATGGGGGTTTCACTATGTTGCCCAGGATGATCTCTAACTCCTTTGCTCAAGTGAACCTCCTGCCTCAGCATCCCAAAATGTTGGAATTACAGGCATGAGACACCACACTCAATGCATTGTTTTATAATATTTCTTTAACAAATATCATCAGATACTGAGAGAATCAAACAGTCATAGCAACTGACATTGTTTATTTACCTTTACTCCAACATCAACAAATTGGGCTCACATAAAGTTTCTAAATATTTTGACCTTTAAAATTTATATATTATATATATATATATATAATATGTTATAAATTAATAGTATTTAAACCTATCTACTTTGTAGTGCTCAAACTCTTCTCTCCCTTTACAAGTTTAGAACACATAGTTAATCTTTGGATAATTACATTTCAAAACCAGTTGCTTCTTCTAACCTGGGATACATTGACATTCCAAAGGATTAAAGTGTCTGAGAACATCAGTAATTCATTTTCTAGAGGTTGAGGTGTATCAGATAATTAGTTATCTTTTCAGTTTTGATTAACAGTAATCATGGAAGTTGGTGATCCGAACCCCTTGCACTTAACGGTCCAGTCGTATCTCCATCTGCTTAGTCAAAATGATGGCAGGTGATCAGTTTTCTTACATTGACTGGAGTGACCTATTGTTTGGATATTATTTCAGCACTGCTTGAGTGAAATCAGTTGTTTGCATGAACACACTAGACTGGTAACTGACTTGTCATAACATATAAAATAATTATGAATCTTTAAATGATACTCCTGATAGTAAAGACAGAAAAGGAGACGATGATTAGCTTGAAGGAACTTGGTGTCTTGGTCCTGACTAAAATTGAGTCTGTAAAAACAGTAAAAGGCATATAAAGCAGTCCTACTACTTCAACTTAATCTTAACTGATAACTGAGTTCTTGGTGAACACATTTGGCTTTTCATATTATTTCGCCCTTTGAAATTTACGCGTGAGTGAAACCAAATCAAAATTTTTCTGTGGAAATTACCTTCATTTCCCAAATGCCCTTGTGCACTGCCTTCTTTGCAGTATAAACACAGCATTCCTCATTGTAATCAAATCACTTAATCGAATAATTTATCTTCTTTAGTCTTCCCGTTTCTTAAAACTTAAATTCACGTCTAACAGTTGTTTTAGAAATTACACTTTTAAACAAAAATTCCATGTTTTTATTATGAGACATTATAAAACAGCATTTTCTCATTTTTATTTCTTTCATTTATTCATTCTTTATTTTTATGTTTTTTCCAGCAATAATTATTGAGGCCCTTGGTAGCCACAACTGGAAAAAATGTTAACATGAACTAGTAAAAGCAGACTTACACTAGTGATGAATTACAGCCACAAGTAGAAACTTCATTTCTAGGGGTGAAATATGCAGTGATAAGCACACATAGATGTTGTTGATATTCCAACTAAAAAAAGAAATTCCAGATAAAGTTGCATAGCAGTAGATTTAAAAAGACAACAAACGTATTAATTATTCTTATGTTTATACATAAATTCCAAAGGCTAAATGACTCATAGTATGTTTATCCCTCAGCTTTAGCACTGTAATTCTGGGCCATGTCTCCTTAGTTATTAATTACGTTTCCGTATCCCTCACTAGCCAGTAAATCCCTTGAATACGTAGATTATGTCCTGTCATCTCTGATTGTCACTCTCTTCTACAGCTGCTTTGTAGATGGTAGACAATAAATGTCTGTCAAATTGTTAAGTATATTCAAACTATCATGTATCCCTAATCGTAAGTCCTTCCATATGAAAATGTTGACTTAGAGGGACTCCCTGCTGCTTTATATGCGCAATGATTACCTTGTGGAATGCAAGTATTGTTTTATTTGTAATTGGTCACCTATGACCTATATTTAAGTTACTGAGACACAGTTTGTGAAATAAACTACTTCCTTGTGTGAAATGAGAACAGAAGATAATAGACCAACTTGGACATTGTTTCCTTCTGTGGCATTGGTTATCTCTGCTGTTCAGATAATACTCAACATCAAACAAGAAGTTTTGAACACTCTTTTACTTTCATGATGCCAAGCTAGTTATATTGTTGTACCTATGTCTTTGTAATATAGATAGGTCCATTTGTATTTATATGGTTATTAACTCCCATGCAACCTGGCCAAAGGGACAAAATTCTACTCACAAAAAGTAGACTGCAGTGAAAATTAAGCCTTCCGACACTCTCTTCAGGAATGCTTACGGTACATTAAACTTTCCATACAGTAAACAATTCAATCACCTATTTTATCTAGATGATTGTTTAACTTTACTATTTTGTAAATAAGTTGCTTTTGCATTTATAGGGTCTTTGCTTTATCTGTCCACCCACTGTCCCCCTCACATTCTCCATCTCCAAATGCATCTTTGAATGGTGGTGGCTGGGGGGAAGTACTTATATTTCCATTCAGATTCTGTATCTTCAGATAGAAGCAGATTCTAGGTATATGAACCAGGCTAGAGCAAGAAGTTTGGTGTTAGGATTCTTAGGTTTTATTTACTCATTTAGTAATTCAATGATTTTAAAATGCTGTTCAAGCACCTACATGCAGAAATCTGTGCTAAGTGATGGGAATACAAAGGTGATAAATGAACCCTAACAGGGCCCTTTTGAGGAAAATGAATATTAATCAAATAATAATACAATTATATAGTCACAAGTGATAATAAGTGCCCCAAAGTAAAAAGTATAGGACATTCTGAGAATACATGAGGATCTGATCCAGAGTGAGGTAGAAAAAGCATCCCTGAAGAAATGAGTTTAAATGTGAGTCTGTGTCACAAACCTCTGCAGTGACAGGGCCTCTGCCCACCTCACCTGTCTTTTGTCCTGTGACTAACCATTTAAGTCTCTGTGCTCCAACCCCAAAGGACATCCTTAGTTCCCAAACCCTACCCACCCTATCAATCATTTATGGGATGTGGTTTTCTCTGCCTGAAATGAACTCCTTTGCCCCTACTTACATTGAAAATCACTTCTTCAAGGCTGAATTTCCTTTAGTTTCAAAGACTAAAATAAACCTCAAGGAACGTTTGTTGGATGAATTAATGAGTAGTTTCCTATATATTCACTTTCACTACCTCCAAATCATTCCTTAAAACTGCAGCAAGAGGAATCTCCTAAAAAAGCAAATATACTATGTGTCTTCCAGCTTAGAGTCCTGTAAGAGCTTTAGATTTTAGCTGTGGGAAACAATTCCTTAATTGTATGAGCCTGGTTGAGGTCACAGAGGGAGTGAGCGCAGGTGGAAAAGAGACGTCCAGGCATAGTCTTGTGATTCACTCCTGACATTAGAGTTTGGGGAGGTGAGAAGGAACCAGTAGAGACCTCTGGGGTTGGAGACTCTGGTGGTCAGTGTTGGTCATGGTTATGGAGAGAATAGGAAGATAAGAGATACCCAGGAGGTTCAATCCACAGGAGGCAAGGCCTGCTTTTCTCTGCATGGAATCAATGAGCAACTCTGGGCTTGCTAGAACTGAAACCACGGTTTCCTGATTGGCAAGATTATAGGTTTTTAAAGATAAGTAAGTGAAACTGTGTAAGTTATTTGGAGTAAGAATATATGGTATTTCTATAGTTAAGCAATACTTTTATTCTTTTTAAAGCATTACAATAAAGGCACAGGGGAAGGCACAGAGTAGAACATTTGATTTTTAAATTTTTGTTTTAAAATCATTAACTTATTTAATTCAACAGAAAATCTTGTGATCGAGAAATGTATCTTTCTACTGACTGACTCAGTGATCTTTAGTTTTTAAAAATATTTCACAATCTGGTGATCAGATAATGCCATTCAAAAAGATATGAAATGGGCTCACACTTGTAATCCCAGTGCTTTTGGAGGCTGAGGCAGAAGGATCACTGGAGGCCAAGAGTTTGAGACCAGTCAGGGCACCATAGTGAGACCCCCATCTGTACCAAAAAATTTAAAGTAGCTGCACGCCTGTAGTCCCATCTACACAAGAAACTGAGATGGGAGGATTGCTTGAGCCCAGGAGTTCGAGGCTGCAGAGAGCTATGATCACGCCACTGCACTCCAGCCTGGGAGACAGTGCAAGACACTCTCAAAACAAACAAACAAAAAGATAAATAGTAAAGCTGTGAATAAAAGTCACTAATATAAAAATGTGAATACAGCATTTTTTTTTTTTTTTTGCCAGAGACATACACGTTAGAACTAGGATGCTGTGAAAATGATCTATTGAAATAGTTGCAATTATGTCAGAGTGCCCACCAGGTAATGTACAAATTTGTCACCAAGCGTATGGAAGGCATAGCACCTAACAGGCTACAAACCTGGAAATTTTCTTGCTTGTGATTTATTTTGCAATGGCAGGGCCTGTGTTAAATAAACAGGTGAGTGTTGATTTTTAACTCAAAACACTTTGGGTTCAATGTCTTTTATTTCACACTGTATTTGATGATAAATCTGGTTGCAGATCCTTGGGGCTATTGGACTTCCACAGTCAATGCTGTATCATCTTTTGTGTCAAATAGCCAATTTTATTCTGTTAAGTGAAAATAGAGTGACATTTGATGAAAATTTTATAAAATTTATACAATGAAAAAAAAAACCCACAAATGATTTCTCCACTAAGTCTTGATTGTAAATGTTAGAAAAATTTACCACAGTTTAATCTGGTCCACTTTCCCACAGGTATTTCTTTGTGGTTGAAGAAGACAATACTCCATTATCAGTTACAGTGACACCTTGTGATGCACCTCTGGAGTGGAAGCTGAGCCTCCAGGAGCTGCCAGAGGACACGAGTGGGGAAGGCTCAGGTAAGCAGCAGGATAGATCTGGCCCTGGACCTTTGAGTGGTTGGTTTTAAGGCTTGTGAAACTTACAACCTTCTGTGTGTTAGTAAGAAAAAGTAGCATGGGTGCACAGGTGAAGCTGGAGGTATGAGATGGAGACAAGGAAAGTGGGAGGGTGGCATCAGATGACATTGACCCTGGTAAAATAAAAGGTTTAGGAGAGACAGGTTAGGGGGACTGACAGATTGAGGAGAAGGGGAGAGGTTTGGACTAACCTCTTCGGCTGTGGTTTGCAATCTTGCCTAAACATCCTAATCTCATATAAGGCTTTAAAAACTGCTGATGCCTAGATCTTGCAAAGGTCTGATTTAATTGCCATGGGGTGAGGTCCGAACATTGGAATTTTTAGCCCCCACCCTCCAGGTGATTCTGATATACAGCCAAGGTTAAGAACCTCTGATCCCCAGGGAATAAGAGGTGGAAACAGGGAAGCGTTTCACAGCAGTTAAAGGTCAAGATGAAAACAAAGTTAGTAGGATGAGCGGGCTAAGCATTTAAAAAAGACACAGATGATGGAGAGCAAATAATAAGATAAAAGGGAAATGAGAAGAGTCTGTGTGGAGCCCTGGAGTAAGGCTCTTTAAGGGCATCATAGGTTAAAGGTGAAGACTTGACAAGGGGTGCCCTACAAAAGAGGCTAACAGAAAGCTATAGTAGTTACAAAGAGGAACAATTAGGAAAATTGGAAAACAATTAGGAAAATCATGGAAGTATGTATGGGGAGTAATGAGACAGATACAGAAAATGAATCTTGATAGGCTTTTGCTCTATCACCTAGGCTGGAGTGCAATGGTGTAATCTTGGCTCACTACAACCTCCACCTTCCAGGCTGAAGCAGTTCCCTTGCCTCAGCCTCTCAAGTAGCTGGGATCACAGGTGTATGCCACTAGACCCAGCTGACTTTTTGTATTTTTGTAGAGACAGGATTTTACTATGCTGCCTAGTCTGGTCTCGAATGCCTGAGCTCAAGCAATTTGCCAACTTCGGCCTCCCAAAGTGCTGGGATTACTGGCGTGAGCCACTGCACCTGGCCAAATCTTGATGCTAATATACCTGTTTGATGATTGTGTTTATCCCATTGTTTAGGAATATGAAATTCTGTATAGCTCACTTTCAACCTGCAGTGATAAGCTGGAAAAGGTTTTTTTCTTACTGTAGCTATCTAGTCACTCACCAAGCTCTGGAAACTTATCTATACACTGATATCTGTATGATATCTGATGCTTATCGTAACGGCGGAAAAAATTAGTTTAGCTGTAATACTATTCCTGTGGTATTCCTGCGTGCATGTTCTATACAATGCACCTTAAACGATCCTTTATTTATTTATTTATTTTTTGAGACAGGGTCTTGCTCTGTTGCCCAGGCTGAAGCATAGTGGTTGCAATCATAGCTCACTGCAGCCTTGAATTCCTGGGCTTAACCAATCCTCCTGCCTCAGCCTCCCAAGTAGCTGGAAGTATAGGCACTTGCCACTGCGCCCAGCTAATTTTTTTTAATCTTTATTTTTTGTAGAGACAGGGTCCCTCTTTGTTGTCCAGGCTTGGCTTCAAGTGATCTTCCAGCCTCAGCATCCCAAAGTGCTAGGATAACAGGCATAAGCCATGACACCTGGCCAAACAGTCTTACTGGTACTTTATATTCTGTATTTTATTTTATATGATTTATTTATTTACCAGGAACACGTGCACTTTATTGAATGCCATTATACAAAAGTGTGTGAAGATAAAGGGCTGATACAGGATTCAGCTTGGGGCAGGGCAGGGAATGGAAGGTGGAGTACATGGGAAACCAGTCAAAGGCAGAGCCCCTGGCCTGGATGATTCCTCTTGATCTTTTGATAGACTTGCAAGATCAATACTGGGATGATGATCAGCAGAATGGTCATGATGATGCCCCAAATCAGGGCCCAGATGTTCAGGCACTTAGCAGTAGAGGCATAGGCCTGGGCCCCAGTCAGGTCACCAACCATCTTCCTGTTCCTAGACTTCAAGGAGTAGGGGAACGCTATGAAGCCCAGGCAGCAGCAGTTCATGAAAAGGATGTTGAACAGGGACCAGACAACGTGGTCAGGCATGCAAGTCTCGGTATGGATCACAGTGGATGTTGGGGGAGCAGTGTTATGGGGCACCCCCAGCACATCCACCTCATGCTCCCCCTTCAGCATCTCATAGTTGGGGGGACGGTGGGACAGTTGGTGTTGGCGGGAGTGAAGAAGGTTTGGACAGTGTGGTTCATGGTGTCCAGGGAAGACCAGCTGTGGTTGGGTTGCTGGGATGGTTCTCTCTATATTTGTATTTTAATCAGAATGTCTAGTCCTTCTAACAATAGTGAAATTAGCAAAATGGCTAGCCATCCAGATGCAAACTGATAAAATTCTTTTTGTAAGTAAATTGACAGTCAGGATTAATAATTTCTCAAAAGCTTACCGCCTCTGACCTAAAATTTTTACTAATTGCCTTCTGTTCTGAAGAAATAATTTAAATTCAGAAATGCCTTACACATATATGAAAGCATTATGTATAATGGTCAAAATAAATATTAACTTTTAATACATTTATGAATACTTTTACTTATGAACATATATTTTCATAATGAGAAAAAAATGAGATAAAAGCATAAGTTAAGGTTAGCAAGCCACCGTGTATGCCCTGACAATAGCCTGTGCCTCTTGTGTATCTTCTAGGTGTTCTGGAACCTCTTGAGCAGCAGAAGCAGCAGATCATTAATGAGGAAGGCACTGAGTTATTCTCCTACAAAGGCAATGATGTTGAGTATTTTCTATCTTCTAGTTCCCCATCTGGTTTATATCAGTTGGATCTTCTTTCAACAGAGAAAGACACACATTTCAAAATATATGCCACCACAACACCAGAATCTGATCAGCCATACCCTGAGTTACCCTATGACCCAAGAGTAGATGTGACCTCCCTGGGGCGCACCACGGTCACTTTGGCCTGGAAACCGAGCCCCACTGCCTCTTTGCTGAAACAACCCATTCAGTACTGTGTGGTCATCAACAAAGAGCACAATTTCAAAAGTCTCTGTGCAGTGGAAGCAAAACTGAGTGCAGATGATGCTTTTATGATGGCACCAAAACCTGGTCTAGACTTCAGTCCCTTTGACTTTGCCCATTTTGGATTTCCTTCAGATAATTCAGGTAAAGAACGCGGCTTCCAAGCAAAGCCTTCTCCAAAACTGGGGCGTCATGTCTACTCCAGGCCCAAGGTTGACATTCAAAAAATCTGCATAGGAAACAAGAACATCTTTACCGTCTCTGATCTGAAACCCGACACACAGTACTACTTTGACGTATTTGCAGTCAACATCAACAGCAACATGAGCACTGCTTATGTAGGCACCTTTGCCAGGACCAAGGAAGAAGCCAAACAGAAGACAGTTGAGCTAAAAGATGGGAAGGTTACAGATGTATTTGTTAAAAGGAAGGGAGCAAAGATGCTACGGTTTGCTCCAGTCTCTTCTCACCAAAAAGTCACCTTCTTTATTCACTCTTGTCTGGATGCTGTCCAAATCCAAGTGAGAAGAGATGGGAAACTTCTTCTGTCTCAGAATGTGGAAGGCATTCGGCAGTTTCAGCTTAGAGGAAAACGTAAAGCGAAATACCTCATTCGGCTGAAAGGAAACAAGAAGGGAGCATCTCTGTTGAAAATACTAGCTACCACAAAGCCTACTAAGCAGTCATTTCCCTCTCTTCCTGAAGACACACGAATCAAAGCTTTTGACAAGCTCCGTACCTGTTCCTCGGCCACCGTGGCTTGGCTAGGCACTCAGGAAAGGAACAAGTTTTGCATCTACAAAAAAGAAGTGGATGATAACTACAATGAAGACCAGAAGAAGAGAGAGCAAAACCAATGCCTAGGACCAGATATAAGGAAGAAGTCAGAAAAGGTCCTCTGTAAATATTTCCACAGTCAAAACCTGCAGAAAGCAGTGACCACAGAAACAATTAAAGGTCTTCAGCCTGGCAAATCTTACTTGCTGGATGTTTATGTCATAGGACATGGGGGGCACTCTGTAAAGTATCAGAGTAAGGTTGTGAAAACTAGGAAGTTCTGTTAGTTACCTTATTATAGAGATACATTACGTAGAAGTTCAGGAGGGACATTAAATCACTTTAAGTATAAACTGACTACTCCCACAGCTGAGAGAAGTTGTGACCTGTACTTGTACTATGGAAGGAAGGATATCAACATGTGTTTATTGATGTTTATATAAGTAACTCTTGAAGGAGACTTGTTCTAGAGTGCCCCGTGGTACCTAGCGTGTGTCTGATGCCAGTTGGTGTCAAAGACAGAGGACTTCTTGAAGGAACTTGCCATTCCTTGCTTTGACCACTGCATGAACTGCTTCTAAATTATTTTATTACCTAAAAATTTAAAATATACCATTCATTGCACACACCCACAAATGCAAATCATTCCTCTCTATAGATGCTAGGATATATATATATATAAATTATTTTATAAATTCTTGTTTTAAATGTCAGTGTTTCTATGATTGTAAACTATTAAGTTCTTTTCCTGTTAAAGTACAGATCTAATCTAAGTATTATTAAGTGGACAGCCCTCTAGTCAGTTATATTGCTATTGTAAATTCTTATTTGTTGAGTAAAATGTTTAAATACTGTATGTATCTCATGTACAAAGTTGACATACATTATATTCATGTACATAAAATTAAAGATACTAGATTATATGCTGTTCATTTTCCCAAGCAGCTACTTTGGTGTATTCAATTTCGAATCTGTCCTCAAAACTGCACCTTCTGTAGTTTGGCACCAAAATAGACCCTTTTTTAGTAGTTAAAAAGGGATGCCTCCTCTCTCTAAAGTTACTATGGCATTAGAAATACTTATTAAAATTTGTATTTTTGACATTGACTAGGAGCAAGCTGTTAGGAGATTTGAGAGAGCTACAATAGACTTGTTTTAAAAGAATAGGAGAAGCCAAACACTAACTTGATAAGTATTCAACAAATTGTCGTTAATAACATAAAATACATCACATTATGAGCATTTATTTTAAGCACAAAATTGGGATAATACAAGTATTTTTCATCTGTTTCGATATTACCAAAATAGTTAAATAATTATTTTAATCTCTAGCTGACACAACAAACACCCGTCAGGACTTTGATTAGTAAGAAGAAAACTAGGAAAGCTGCTGTTTCATAGCATTGATGGTCTACTACTTTTAACTTTGATTTTTCATGGGTTTTTTAAAAGTAATTTCGGGTGTTAGAAGCAATTTAGGCAAATAATAACAAATCTTTTATAGGAGACCATGAACAAAGGGCACTTTTAGGTAGCTTCATTCTCCATAGGTTCTAAACATAAATCATGAGGTATTATGAGAACATTGGTCCAGGAGTCAGAAAAGTCTGGAATTTACAATCACCTAAAGCATATGATGTTAAGAAATCTCTTACCTCCCATCATCTCTCTTTCCCATCTGTAACATTAGGTGATAGATTTAGATGAGATGACATTGTCAGATACCTTCTATCATAAGAGGTTGTTTTTGGTAGAATTCTATGATTCCAAAGTGCTGTGACTATAAGTGTGGACAGGTATAATCTCTTTATCCCTACACTGCCCCTGCATGCTGACACCATCTCCATATAGGAGACATTCAACAGCAACATTCCTCCGGAGTATAGATGGCTATGGTTAAGGTAGTATAAGTGGTGGTGCTTATAAAATATTCTCTGCTTACCTTAGGAGAAAATAGTTCCTTAAAAACGTTATCATCCAATCCTCAGTATTAAGGTGTCTAAACAAAAGTGACCCTATCTGTACACAACAGTAATGACACCTGAAAGAATTCTTTAAAAGATAAAGAGCAGTACCCCATGGCTATATAACCAACCAACTTGGAAGGAGAGACTTTAAAATTGACAACATCCCAGAGATGTATCTTAAGTTAAGAATGTGCTGCCTTTGAATAAATACCAACTTTCTCATAGTAGGCACGTATATATTATTACGTGTATAATATATACACGTATATATTATATAACAATGTGCTAAATGGGACTATAGTGAATGAAAGAGTTATTGCAGCTTCTGAAGGTGACAGACTTAACTTTCAGATATTGCTTAATGCCTGGGAAACCCTGGGAACCCGGCCAACTCAATTTAACCAAGGTTTTGTTTTTTTGGTCAGCTGTGATGGTGGTTTCTACATAGTCTGGATAAATCCAAAATTATTTCATGGCCCCAGTGCAATTTGCCTTTTTGAAATTATTAGAAAAACAAAATACACATGGTGAAATTTCTACCATTTTCCTAAAGAAAGGGGAAACCTATTTTAAAAAATGAAGCTCTCTTATTTACTAATGAATTTCTATTTTAGGAGCATCCGGCTAAACTGGGGACAAAAACAAAAACTTAATTAACAAAAGAACTAGAAAGCAGCTAATATGAAAGCACCACCTTGTGTTCATTCAGCTCCAGGATGGCTCTACAGACAGCAGGGTATTTAGAGTCCCAGGTATAGTCATATATCACTGGGGAGGGAAGACTCTTTAAGGACATTTAGTTTACAATCTTTATTATTTTTCAGGTGTTGAAAAGAGATTAAAGATCATAGAAGTCAGAATAAATTTGTAAAAGTTTTCATAGTCAAAACAGCTAAGTAATGGCATTGCCCAGACTCCAAAATCCTGACCAGAATATAAATCACCAATTCTTGGTTTAAAGGGGTTATTTGTGAATCATTTTCCAAAAAAAGTAGTACACTTTTTGTGTTACTTACTATTTCAAAGAAACTTATTCTTCAAGACCATTTCAGATTTCCTTAGGAATGTATGTGTTACCCATAATTGACCACTTCAAACTTGTAAGAAAAAAAAACTTTGTGGTCATTTTGTTATTTTTAGAGACACAAAGTATTTCTAATCTAGGTTTGCATTGCACATATAAACTTGAGGCTGTGAGATCATTAGTCAGTTGCTTTAATTATAAGCCCTGTTTTTTTAAAATCTGAAACTAACCAGAATCTATAAGAATTATGACAGATTATTTTCTTCATTAAATTACCTTATAATCAATTTCTAGATTAAATGTTTAAACATGCATTAAAGGGTTAGTCCTGAAAAGCACTCATTTTCATTACTCAGAACACATTTGAAAAAATTACAATTTGGGTAAGATGAAGAGAGTTAAAAGATGACAAAGATGAACTTTAGAGTTTGAAAAAGGCTTAATGATTCTTAATGGTTTGGCTCTTAAAACCACAAACACACACACACACACACACACACACACACACACACACACTTTTGTATAAAATTCAAGGGATTCATTGTTGCTGAAACCGGTCTAGTATCCCTTCCAATATTTCACCAATAGCTTCTAGAGATTATCAGTTCCACCATCTCATTTTACAGATGAGGAAATTGAGGCCCAATTAAGGCTAGAATCTAGATTCCTTTACTCCCACTTTAATGTCCACTCAGGACATCATCTTAAACACTTCTTCACTATAGAAAGCATGGGACAACTCACCCAGAGTGTACTTCTTTGTCTTTATTCACTGGCTCACTTCAAAACAAAACAAAAACAGTCTCTAACTTGGAGGACAAGGTCATCTGGAGCATCTCCAGCCACTTCCTCCCCCAACTCTGATATGGTGTGACAGAGATTCATTCAATTGGGAACCTGCCTTCTGGCCCTCTCCCTATGATCAAGTACAGTGACCACTGCAAGACTTTAACTGGTCTTTATATGTAGTCGTCTAAATGACCTGGAAATCATCAGGACATACGCACCATTGTTTCACCAGAGAGTTTTAGGCTGAAAAATATAGGGTCTTTGGGGATTTGGGCCTTTGTTGTTTTGAAAGTGGGAAGTAGGAGAAAGGAAAACGGAGACAAGTGAGGTGTGGAGAGAAGTGTAGTTTTATCTCACTTCTTTCTCCGATGTCTAAGAAGTCAAGAGAAGAGATTGAGTGTAACTTGATTTTATTAATGTTTTCATTCTGCCCTTCATGCAACCGTACACTGGAGCATTGGACCTGGATCACCATCCTCTCTGCCAGAATTGCATCTCTGCAATTCTGGCCATTTTGTGGACATTTTCATTTCCCAGGAGTGGTTGATCATGCATTTGGGCATGATTTCCTTCATTTCTCTTTACATTCCCCATTCCTGACCGTTGAAAAACAGTCATCAAAGTTCAGAAATAAAGTCTTTTAGAATGCCTTTCCAGATTGACTCTTAGAACTCTTTCAAAGATATTTGTAAATATTCACTCTAAGTGTAAAAGAAATAAAAGGCTGTAGATCTTCGTTATGGAAAAACCATTCACTCTAGATTGAATAGTTGAAGGTCTTAGGCATGGTTACATTTTACACTGTCGTTATTTAGATCCCAATGAAGAGAGGGTGGGATTGATTATCCCACAGTATTGTGGGAGAAAGACAGTGCAGGGAAAGACATTGATTCCTAGTAAAAGATCCATTAAAAAACTGAGCTAAGGATGAAGTGCCAGAATGTAATTCATCATCCCTTTATGCTACAGAGGAGAACTTGCAAGACAGTGTAAGGTTTCCCTGAAATTTGTTAGAAATGTCGTCTAGACGTTGAGCCAGGAACACAATCAAGTAACCTCCCGGGATAGAGCCAGGCCCCAAGCCTCTTCAGAACTGGGAATAATGTTTTGAATTAAAACAGCGGTGTAAAACAGAGAGGTCAGAGCAGATCAGTACTGGTTATGGGTGATGAGATCCAGACAAAATAGTCTTGAAAAAAAAACTCTTACAATTAGAGGGTGTGATAGATGTGTTATTTTGTTTTTGAGTCTAGTAGTATTAATGTCTGAAACTGGTCAGTTTTTAGGGGCAACTTCAAAATGTAGTCTGTCTTTCTCTTTTCTTATAAATACCTGCCAAGACTAATACCCAATCAAATGCCATGACTTGGAAATAAACAAATATCCATTTCTTCTCTATAATTACCTTTTGGTATAATCCTTTCAATTTGTGTAAATAGGATCTAACAGAATAACACCAATAGTTGTTTTAAGATAGACTGAAAAAAAACCAAAATGCCCACATTTAATTGTTATAACTCTGACAGTAGTGTGTTTCTGAGAAAAATTATTTATAATAAACAGAACCAAGTATATTAATACATCACTGGCATAGAAGTCTGATTGTTTATTCTCATCCCGTCCTATAAAATGAACTCAGACCTATTTAAATAGGATTAATATATTAGTTTCTTTCATCATGTAGGCCTGATAATTTCCACATTGCCAGACCAACAGTTTTTGGAAATAGCATGCCACCCTCAAGAACCACTGGGAAATGTCTCATAAGCATCTACATTTGTCTGACCTGGTTTGTGCTCTTCGGGTCAATACAACTGAAGTAACAAGATTGTGGCTTAACCAGTGTCAGAGTTATAACTATAGACATAGATTGCTGTATGAGCAATTTGATAAGAGCAACTGATCTAGTCATAAATATGGCCCATTTCCAGTGGTTGAGTTTCCATGTATCACAGTAGCTACAGTAGCTTTAGCAACATTGGACGTCTCCAGCTCTTCTGGATGTGGTAAGAACTTCTGGATGAGAGAGACAAACAAGCATATGTGTATGTTTTAAATAACCACATAAAATTCAACCAGTTCCCTTATGGTAAAATATAACTTTAAAAACATTTTTAAAGAAATAGCAGACTCTTTCTTGGTTGACTATTTTAAAAGAGTAGTA